ACTATATCCTTATTTCAGCATTTTGTTATTTCTCTTCCCACCCCCAAATTAGAAAAATGTATATACAAGACTTAGGGCACTAGAATCAAATACAGTGAAAACAGATTATAGCATGGGGGAAGAACATACAAAAGAAACAAAAAATAATCACATGGTTCATTATAAGTACATTTAAAACAACAGCAAGAAAGATAAAAACCACTTGAGTCTCTATCTTGGGGTCATTTTGCTTAGCATCATCTTATATGGTCATATGTACATAGCTTTTGAGCTTTTCTGCTTGTCCTAGACATATACTAGTTATTGCAAATAAGGGAAACCATGGTACCTATGTTTCTTTCAGCCTGGCTTACTTTACTTAATATAATTTTTTCCAAATATTTCCATTTCCTAGCAAATGGAGCAGTGTCATTCTTTCTGATGGAGGCATAGAATTCCATTGTATATTATTTATTTATTTTCTGATCCAGGGCTTGAACTCAGATCCTAGGCACTTTCCCTGAACTTCTTTTGCTCAAGGCTAGTGCTCTACCTCTTCAACCACAGTACCACTTCTGGCTTTTTCTGAGTAGTTTATTGGAGATAAGAGTCTCATGGACTTTTCTGCCCCAGCTGGCTTCAAACCATGATCCTCAGATCTCAGCCTCCTGAGTAGCTAGGCTTACAGGTGTGAACCACCAGCACCCAGCTTGGACTTGTTTTTAAAGTTTATTCAAGTATAATTTGCATATGCCTCTGGGGTATAACAAAATCACTTTATTCTAGATGAGTCACACTGACTTCAATGGATTTGATGAGTTTTGCCAAATGTATAGCATTGTAACCACAAGTTAGATAGTCTTAACAAATGCATGGTCATGAACCACCACCAGTCAAGAAATAAACATTTCACTCACCGAAATGCTTATGAAACTTATTTTAGTCGGTTCTATCTTTTCTTCCAGCTCCTGAACCTACTGATCTGAATTCCATCCTAATAATTTTCTCTTTTCTGGAATGTCACATAAGTAGAATCATGTAGTATACAAGCATAGCTTTTTTATTTTTCTTCTATCTTTCAATGGACTTGATTTTATTGGGGCTTAACTGTGGCTGCTATTCAGATATTGTGTTCAAACAACAGGACTATTTCTCTTTAGAACCAGGGTTGAGCTCTAATAACACTCAATCCAATCTAAGTACACTTTAGAAAACACAATTATAATATATTAATATATATTATATGAGTAAATCCCACAGTATGTAGAGTTAGACTTACCTGAGTATGAATCTCAGTTCTGAAATTTCCTATGTAAACTTCAAAATTTTACTTAAAGTTTCTGTATGTGTTTCCAGATTTTCATAATGTGAATTTTAAAAAAATGACTTTATCAGATTTTTGCACGGATTAAATTAAAATATGAGAACAAATGTCTACCCAGTGCCTGATACATAGTAGGCAACCAAAAGGATAGGTTATTGTTACTCTTATTTTCATGATGTCTACCCATCAAGGCATATAACCTTAAAAGGCCAAATGGTTAATTCCCACTATTGAATATTGCTTAGGCCACTCTTTGAGACTCCCTAGTTACCTCTTGAGCTTTGACTCACCCTGAGCACATTACTTTTGTTCTGGTTTTGGGTTTTACATAGCTTCTAGCTTATTTGTATTTCACTAGAGACTTAAGCCAGTCTCAGACATTCTAGCCCACCTAAAGGGGAGAAAATATGGAAAAGCAATTGTGAAGATTACAGCCCAAAAGATTATGACCTATATGGGGGATTATTTTTAAAAAATTTCACTAGATATTATGTTGAAAATGAACTATACAGCTTATAGGTAGGGACAGGAGGGAAAAACAGAGAGCAAGGAAAGGGTGATATTGTCAAAAACAGAAATGTACTCATTACCTGACTTAGATTACTAACTTTCTGTGCATTACTTTTATAATAACAATTTTAAAATATTTTCTTTCCTCCTATCTTATCACAACATCACTAAAGGCCTATGTCTCCCAGTTTCTTATGCTGAACACATAATACTTGGTCTTCAAAAAGGATTTACAAGGCATATTAAAGATAAAAAGCATAATTTGAAGATAGAGCAAGCATCAGAACCAAATCCAGAGACAGCAGGGATGTTGGAATTGTAGACCAGCAATTTCTAACAACTATGATTAATATGCTAATGGTCTTAATTGAAAAGGTTGAGGGGCTGGGAAGGTGGCTCAGTGGTAGAGCGCTTGCCTTGCATGCTCGAGGCCCTGGGTTCGATTCCTCAACACCACATAAGCAAAAAGAAAAAAGCCGAAAGTGGCGCTGTGGCTCAAGTGGTAGAGTGCTAGCCTTGAGCTGAAGAGCTGAGGGACAGCACTCAGGCCCAGAGTTCAGGCCCCACGACTGGACCCCCCCCCCAAAAAAAAAAAAAACAAAAAAAAAAAAACTTCTATTTTTGGGCTGGGAAGGTGGCTCAGTGGTAGAGCACTTGCCTTGCATGCTCGAGGCCCTGGGTTCGATTCCTCAGCACCACATAAGAAAAAAGCCGGAAGTGGCGCTGTGGCTCAAGTGGTAGACCACTAGCCTTGAGCTGAAGAGCTGAGGGACAGCGCCCAGGCCCAGAGTTCAGGCCCCACGACCGGACCCAAAAAAAAAAAAAAAGAAAAGGTTGAAAACAAGCAAAAACAAATGGGCAGTGTAGGCAGAGAGACAGAAATTCTAAGAAAGACTCAAAAGGAAATGTTAGACATTAAAACATGGTGACAGAAATGAAGAATGTCTTTGATGGTTTCATTAGTAGAGCCTACATGGTTGATGAAAAGAATCTCAAAACTGGAGGATATGTCTAAAGAAATTTCCAAAACTGAGAAGCATAGAAAGAAAATCTGAAAACCAAGAAACCAATGGACAAACAAATATCCAAGAACTATAAGACAACTAACAAAAACATATTGTGCATCATAGAAACATCACAGGAGGAGAAAAAGGGCCAAACAATAGTTATCTTATAAATATTTTCACTTATAATTTTGAGAACCATTGTCTTAAATATTTCCTTTTAAGCAAAAATATATAACTGGATTTATTTGTTAATCCTTTTATAAAGAGAGAGAGAGCCCTTCCTTACCTATTAGTAATTGTTGGATTCAAATAAATCACAGCAATAGCACTCGATTCTAAGTTTCTCCAAGTTGTTTAAAAATGTTAAAATAAGAGTGCAGAGTCTCTAGATTTTACAGATAACTGTTATGTCTGATAGGACAGTATTTTATTTTTATAACTGGCTTTTAATGGACCTATCAAAGTATTCGACTTAAGTTTCTTTAATAACTTTTTAAGCTCAGTTTGTATAAGTTAAAATGATGTAACTATATGATTAACTTTTAGCTTGAGCAAGGTGGGAAGCAAGATTAACTGCCTCTTGGTTAATATAACTCCCAGTGAGTGGGAACATGCATGCTGTTGGCCAGCCTTGTGTCTGTTGCGCCACACATATTTTCTAAGGAATGATACCATTAGTTAATCGAAGGATCTAGTTAAAAGGAGGCTGGTTAAAAGCACTTACTAGTCTCAACCACAGCTACGCACCAGTAGCTCACACCTGTCATCCTAGCTGCTCAGGAGGCTGAGAGCTGAGGGTCTCAGAAGCCAGCCATGGAAGGAAAGTCCATGAGGATAGTGTCCCATTATAAATTTACTCCCTCTCTGTCTACCAATCCAGTCTTCAATTACAGGAAAGATTCCTTGTTAATCTCCTATCCTCAGGAGACACAGAATATGGGAAATCTGAAAAGCGATTTGATAAAGCAATTCTTCAGACCCAAGACTCCTATGCTATCTTAAATGCTTCAATTTTTGTCAAATTTAGTTATGATGTTTTATTTCTGTGTCTTAGTTTTAAACATCTACTCTGGTTTCAGCTTATCTCTTTGTCCCTGATCTGTGGCTCAGCCCTGTCTTCACCTGACATCCTTCACGTTAACTCCCACCACATCCTGCCCTCTGATCTTCCTCCTCTGACTCTTCTCTACTTCTGGACTCTCCTAAAAGCCAAGGACGCTTGGCAGTCATCTCTCAGCATGGAGCAGTCCCCAGGACTTTCTAGAGGTGAGAGCTCTTGACAGTTCCTGCTTACTTCCCAGTGCATGGTGTCTCCAGGTCTAGTCTGCTCTGTGGGGTGTGGAGGGACTTCAGGGAAGGCCAGCAGGTGGGTGACAAATGCACCTATCTTAGCAGCAGCAGGCCTTTGCCTCTCATTTTGTCACTTATCTTTGAAAGACAAATGGCTGGGCCCCGATAGACAGATAACAACCTTGTGGTCAAAGTACAGTCAGACTTTAGTAATCACCCCCCAACTTCCAGGAAGTTTAGCAAGCCCAGGACGGAGACTTTCTTATCTAAGGAAGATTCTTTCATAATGATAGTTAGGTTTACCACAGAGTTGTCTACAACTTGTCTAATTGTGTTTATAGGACACAGGCTCCCTAAATTCCTAGGAGGCCTTTCGTCAAACTCTAAATTGCTTCTGGGATTAAACTTTAAATTGCTTCTGAACAACTAGAAGTCTAAATTGTTCCAGGTTCCTTGATGGATCCTCTGGAGAGCAGAGTAAAGGGGAAAGAGCAGAAGGTTCCCAGAGAGAAAGGCTGTGTGTGGCTCCCAGGCACGGTGAAGGAGGAAGTGGATGTCAAGTTGTTGGGCATGGAGATGCCCAACTAGGACAGTGAGTAGCTAGAAATCCCCCAGCTAGGGCTTAGATTCCCCTTACCTTGATTGCAAGTTCCCAAACAGCTAAACTGAATCTACTACCTATTCTACTCCAACAGCTAAGATAGATCAGGAGTGATCCGGGTTAGCAATTGAAATCATAATCTTACCAAGCCAGAGGCCTTCCAGCATATTCCGAGCTCCTTCTAATTGGATGTGCTCCAAGACTCGTCATGAAATTATCTCCCCAATGGACACAGACTGGTTTCTCTCTATAACCAATTTTTCTTCAGGTAGGTGAGAAGAGCAAAGATGGAAATCTAAGAAGTGGACTCCAAGGTGGGAACTTGAACCCAGTTTCTATATGTGTTTATAGTGGAAATGAAAGGGCTGGTGCTATAGCTTGGCATGCTTGCCTGGTATGTTTGAGGCTGTGGGTTCAATTCCCAGCACTACATAAAAGAAAATGTAATCCTAGGGAAAGGGCTAGACACATACTGGGAGTCTAAACCAGTGCAGGGATGGGGTAAGGTCAGGGGAGCCATGGGGGATGACTTTAGAGGAGAAAATTTCTGTTCAGTTTTAGGGCAAACACTCCAGCGATAAAAGCTGCATGGCAAAAGAATGGGGGACATGAGCAATATATATTTAAAAACAGAAAAAGGGCAAATTATGTTAAGGTGGTCATGGAATGGAAGGTAAGGAGGTAATGTAGTACTAATCTCTCCAGAAGCAGTTGTGTTTCCTGGAAATGATCCTGATGTCTGCAGTTGATCTCTACTGGTAATTTACATAAGAACAGTTTCAGGCCATGTCTGCTTTTTCTCATCCAACGATACCAAACCAGCTACAAAGTAATAATCGCAGATGCAACGTGCAGAGGTAAGGGTGCCATCCCTCCCACTCCAGCCTTACTGTACACAGATACCTTGGGGAAAGGTGTGGTAAGTCTATTTTTCTTGAGTGGCCTAGGAAAAGCAAGAATGACCAAGACTTCCCTAATTGTTTTTTTCTAGTCTTTTATAGACCTGTTCTGACACAAGTGGAAGAACAAAAATGCAATCAGAGTAAGGAGGGAAGGGCTCTAGGGAGAAGGTGAGGAACCTCCTGGCCCTGGCCTGGCTGCCTAGAGCTTCTCTCTGATTTTCAGGGATTTGTTTTGTTGGTTGTGGGGCTTGAACTCTGGGCCTGGGCGCTGTCCCTCAGCTCTTTAGCTCAAGGCTAGCGCTTTACCACCTGAGCCACAGAGCCACTTCCAATTTTCTGGTGGTTTTATTGGAGATAAGAGTCTCAGACTTTCCTTCCCAGACTGGCTTTGAATTGTGATCCTCAGATCTTAGCCTCCTTAGTTGCTACAACTATAGGCGTGAGCCACTGGCACTCAGCTTTTGTTTTGTTTTGATTTTTTTTTTGAACTCAGGGCCTGGGAGCTCTCCCTGAGTTTTTTTTTTCCTCAAGGCTATAGCTCTCCCACTCTGAGCCACTTCTGGTTTTCTGAGTAGTTTATTGGAGATAAGAATAATCCCACAGACTTCCCTGCCTAGGCTGGCTTCAAACCATCACCATCAGATCTCAGCTTCCTGAGTAGCTAGGATTATAGGCATGAGCCACCAGCATCTGGCTTGACCTTCAGTTTTATTTCAATGGAAGCACATTCTACATGTGGTACCTCCATTGAGCAAGTCGTCCATCAGGCTTGGCAGTAGAGTCTGCTCTGCTGTGGAGAGTGAGCTGTGATAGTATTGCAGTGGCATTAGCAGTCAACTGGAATAGAGAAGGGCCTGAGCTAGATGCTGTCACTTGGAGACCAGCTTCCAAGGCAGAATCTAGTCACAAAAATACCCTGGGAACCATGAAGGACTCTCCATGGAATCTATTACTGCTCTTTCAGAGGTATGGAGCAGACTAGGAAAACCTTAGTACTTTGGACAAACGCTGTGCCAGGGAGAGGGACTGTAAAAGTCTAAATGTCACTGGGAAGGTGGCTCAGTGGTAGAGTGCTTGCCTTGCATGCCTATGGCCCTGGGTTCGATTCCTCAGCACCACGTAAGCAAAAAGAAAAAGCCGGAAGTGGCGCTGTGGCTCAAGTGGTAGAGCACTAGCCTTGAGCTAAAGAGCTGAGGGACAGCGCCCAGGCCCAGAGTTCAGACCCCATGACCAGACCCCCCCCAAAAAAGTCTAAATGTTCTGGGGACCAGAAACTCCAAACTGACTATGCAACTAAGTGGGGTCCCCAACAGACTCATAGGAAATGAAGTATCCATGAGGCATGAGGTAACAAATAGACATTCTAGCTATATTCTTCTTGGCCTCTGTTCATCACATTCTGTCCCTGTAAGACTCCAGGTGAATCTGAGTTATTATCAGAAAAATATCACAGGAGCACAGAATTAGAGCAGGAAGAGAGAAGGAGAAGACATCAGTGGCCAACATTACTGCATGTGACAGCCTGAAACTCCTGACAATCCAGCTGGGACAGTTCAGGTACAAGCATCCTCAAAGTTCCTCTTTTATGTTTTATTCAAGTAGATGTGCATGCGGGATGTATGCCTCCCTACTGTCAGGAGCACCACCTCCACAGATCTCACTACAGTTCTTCCTCCATGTATCATGGTTGATTAAGTTTCTTAGGGGGTGTTTTTCCTGTTTGGATCAGACTAGCCTAACCTTTTAACATGTTTAGTAGACATAGAAATTTATCTCCTGAATGCTGATTTTTCAGCACCTCAAGGAAAAAAACGAATAAGTACTGGAAGTATGTCATCATAACACACACATATTGATCCCTATAAATGTGTTTGGTGTCCTCAGTTATTGTGTAAAAGAGAACATTTAAAATGGAAGGGGCCAACCAAACCATCGTGACTGAGTTTGTTCTGCTGGGGCTATCAGATCAGCCAAAGCTGGAGAAGACGTTCTTTGTGCTCATCCTGGCCATGTACCTAGTGATCCTGCTGGGCAATGGGGTGCTCATCCTGGTCACCATCTTTGACTCCCACCTGCACACTCCCATGTACTTCTTCCTGGGGAACCTCTCCTTCCTGGACATCTGCTACACCACTTCCTCTGTCCCCCTGGTCCTGGATGGTTTCCTCACTCCCAGGAAAACCATCTCTTTCTCAGCCTGTGCCATCCAGATGTTTCTCTCCTTTGCCATGGGAGCCACAGAGTGCGTGCTGCTGAGCATGATGGCGTTTGATCGCTATGTGGCCATCTGCAACCCCCTGCGGTACCCTGTAGTCATGAGCAAGGCTGCCTATGTGCCCATGGCCACCAGCTCCTGGGCGGCTGGTGGACTTAACTCCTTGGTGCAGATCTCTCTTGCAGTACAATTGCCTTTCTGTGGGGACAATGTCATCAACCACTTCATCTGTGAGATCCTGGCCCTGCTGAAGCTGGCCTGTGCTGACATCACCATCAATGTCATCAGCATGGGGGTGGCCAATGTGATCTTCCTGGGAGTCCCAGTTCTGTTCATCTCTTTCTCCTACATCTTCATCCTCACCACCATTCTGAGGATCCCCTCAGCTGAGGGGAGGAAGAAGGCCTTCTCCACCTGCTTTGCCCACCTCACTGTGGTGATTGTTTTCTATGGAACTATTCTTTTCATGTATGCAAAGCCCAAATCAAAGGACCCATTGGGGGCAGATAAGCAGGATGTTTCAGACAAACTCATCTCCCTATTTTATGGTCTGTTGACCCCCATGCTGAACCCCATCATCTACAGCCTCAGAAACAAGGATGTGAAGGTCTCTGTGAAGAACTTTGTGAGTCAGAAATGCTTCGCCCAATGATAGCCAGAGGAAGTGAGAGAAATCTCATGGTTCTTGTACATTCCGGGGCTTTCCTAGCAAATGACCCTTTGGGAAACATAGACTTGCTCAGTGGTTGCACATGGCAATTTCCAAACTGATAAACATTGAATTGAGACCTTCTTGGGTGACTGAGCATAGATGGAATCAACACTGAGATAAAAAAGTGGTTACACCTAGTCACCCAATTGTTTTCAAGAAGGGGAGGTGGTCAGATTGACAAAGATACATAGTTTTCATGTGTGGAAATGTCACAATGAGCTGCCTCCCATATACAACTAATGCATACTAATAAAAATTAATTTTTATTTTTATTGTGGCAAAATAGGCAATAAAAGTCTTTGGAAAGCCAGGCTCCAGTGGCTCATGCCTATAATCCTAGCTACTCAGGAGGCTGATCTCTCAGAATCACAGTTCAAAGCCAGGCCAGACAGGATAGTCCATGAGACTTTTATCTCCAATAAACCACTCAGAAAACCGGAATTGGTGCTGTAGCTCAAGTGGTAGAGCACTAGCCTTGAGCTGAAGAGCTGAGGGACAGCACCCAGGCCCAGAGTTCAAGGCCCATGACTGACAAAAAAATAATTATTTTTTAATCTTTGAAAAAATATACTTCCATGGTTGTTTCATATGCAAACAAGCTGTGTGTGTGTGTGTGTGTGTGTGTGTGTGTGTGTGTGTGCTCTTCTGAACTACAGGGAACATGATAGTGAGGAAAAAGTCACTTCTTTTTTCTTTTTTGAAAATATAATTATATTGTTTAAAATTTTTTATTGTCATTACAAAGATGATGTACAGAGGGATTACAGTTATGTGAGTCAGGTAAAGAGTACATTTCTTTTTGGACAATGTCACCTCTTCCCAGCTCTCTCCCAGTTTTTCCCTCCCACCCTCACCTACACATTGTATACTTCATTTTTGACATAGTTTCTAGTGAGTATGACTGCTACATTTGTTCACCCATTGTCCTTCCATTTCTGTGTCTCTTCTTACCCTCCCAAAGACAGATAAACAAGACAAAAAAGGAAACAAAAACAGCAAGAAAGGGAAAAAAGCCTCTTGTTTCCACTTTCTAGAGTTCATTTCAGTAAATATTATTTTATATGATCAGATGCACATAGGCACGGTGCCTCTCTGTTCCTTTCCTAAGAATATCCTCCTCTGGTCTCACTGTGTGTGAATGGCTAGAGTCCTGCATAATTGATTATGTCCCAGTATATTTTAGATCTAGCTTCTGCATATGAGAGAAAACATGTGTCATTTGTCTCTCTGAGCTTGGCTTACCACACTTAACATGATTCATTCTGGGTCCATCTATTTCCCTTCAGATGACATAATATTATTCTTTCTAATGGCTATGTAAAATTCCATTGTGTGTAGGTACCACATTTTTTGGATCCACTCATCTATTGTAGGGCATCTAGGCTGTCTTCACAATTTGCCTATTGTGGATAGTGCAACAATGAACATAGATATGCAAGTGTCTTACATTATCCTGGCTTCTGCTGTTTTTGTTGTTATTAAGGTGTAGAGAGGGGTTACCGTTTCATAAGTCAGGTAATGAGTACATTTCAGTTTTTTTGGACAATGTCACTCCTTCCTTTGCTTTCCCTCAGTTCCCCCTTCCTACCCAGCACACAGTTATATAGGTCATTTTCCACATAATATATGCTGAATAGAATGGTTGCATTTGTTTATTCTCCCTCCCTTTCTGTGTCCTTCCTTTGCCCCCCTAAAAGATAAAAACCCAAAGCACAAGCAAACACCACTACCACCAACAATAATTACGACAAAACCCCCATGTTTCCACTTGAAAGATCACTTCTTAATATTATCAAAACTGAAAATGAAGCTACCACTTTGAATAATCCCTGACATTAATTCATAGCCTGAATGATACCATTTAACCTCTCTTTGACCATAGGCACTTAGGATGTTTTCCATTTTATTTCCTGCTTAATAACCTACAGCTGATTTGGGGGTATCTCTCTCCGTATACTAATGCATGGAGTACAACTACTCCTACCAAACTTCATTGAGGAGTCTGCACCAATAGCAGCCAAACTCTAGGTAATGAAGGTCAAGAAGAGAATCTCTAGCAGCTTCCAGTTAGATAAATCATTACTACAATGTAAGATTTCTATTAACATCCCCTTGTTCCTGTTCAATTAATGTCTGCTATCACCTAGATCCTAAGGGCCAAACTCAGTTTTGTGTGTCTCTTCAGGATCTTAGGTTGAACACAGCAATAACACGCAACAACTTCCCACAGGGGTTCACAAACATGGTGGAGAAACCCTTTCCCACTTTGGGAAGCAATTTGCCATTATATTTATTTATTTGTTTGATTAATTAATTTTGTCAGTTGTGGGGCCTGAACTCTGGGCCTGGGCACTGTCTCTCAGCTCTTCAGCTCAAGGCTAGCGCTCTACCACTTGAGCCACAGTGCCACTTGTGGCTTTTTCTGCTTATGTGGTACTGAGGAATTGAACCAAGGGCCTCATGCATGCAAGGCAAGCACTCTACTACTGAGCCACCTTCCCAGTCCCAATCTGCCATTAATTTAAACCTAAAATGGGTGTTCTCCCAATGCCCAGCAGTCCATGCCTGGAGAAACTTAGTAGAGATGACCCAAAAGCAATCCATATATCCTTCTACAAGAGAATGGGTAAATAAAATGGTCATCTACATGGAAATGCAAAAGGGAAAATCATATGGTCATATCAATATAGATGAAGACTAGAAATAATATATGGGGGAGAAGTTGACTATCACCAGAAAAACCTTGGAACAACTTGTGGATCTGGACTTGATATGTTTATATATGTGTAAGTTGAACAAGGAAATGGTTTCAGAATTTCCAAATCCAGTTCTGGAAGAAACAGGATTGAAATACATGACATGAAGCAGGGCGCTGTTGGCTCACGCCTATAATCCCAGCTACTGAGGAGGCTGAGATCTGAGAATTGTAGTTCAAAGGCAGACCAGGCAGGAAAGTCTGTGAGGCTTTATTTCCATTTAACCATCAGATAACCAGAAGTGGAGCTGTATCTCAAAGTGGTTGAGTGCTAGCCTCGAGCAGAAAAGCTCAGGGACAACGTCCAGGCCCTGAGTTCAAGCCCCATGACCAAGAGAAATGGAAGAAAAAAAAAAGATATGGTATGCAGTGGCAGGAGGCTTAAGTTATACTAGTATATTTGGTGTTACGTTCTGAAGTTTTCACATTTTGCTTCATTTCTTGGAGCTACACACATGCACACACACAAATACACACAAAACGCACACACACACACACACACATACACACACACACACGTGGTCCAACAGGAGCAGAGGGAAAGGAAAAGAATTCTTCCTGATTACTTCTACATAATTGGATCTTGGGGACGTTGTCCCAGCAGTATAAAAAGTTTATTGACTGTACTATTCCATTTCCAAACTTTGAATCCCTTTAGGGAGCCCAACAGTTTCCATGTCTTTCTAATACACTGGCTGTTCATTAGGAGATTTTTGCTAAACCTTGAAAGGAGATAGAGTGGGAAGAACTAGTTTTCCCTTTTCTTCCAATCAGAGGTCACCTCAACATAGGCCCTTTCAAGCCCATGCTATTTATTTCTGGTCCATGTGCTCTTCCTAAGTCACACAAACCTTTCTCAGCCAGGGTCCTTTTTCAGGTAAAGTAAGGATTCTTACAAAAATAATACTCAGTCTTTTATTAGCACAGTAACATTTCTAACTTCTGACTTGATTTTCCAGAGGTATTAGGGCTTGAGAGGGGGAAGAAATGAAACAATTTCACTGATAGCACCAAGATTGAGGGTCATGCAGAAGCCCTTCTTGGGTCTGCAAAATCTAGCTGGCAATAGCCCTAGGAAAAGTTCAAGGACTCATGTCACTCCCCTCAAAAGGGAGATAGCCCCGCCTTCTGATGACCTCCTGCAAAGGCAAGCAATTCACAAAAGAAGTTTAATCACCTTGGAGTAAGAAACTCACAAAGCGGCTGGCTTGGTTCAGTATGATGCATTTCTGATTCTCAGAGCTCTAAAGGTATGGAGCAGGTTGTTTGGGAATGTAGTGAGCTCTTCCTCACCAGAAATGATCAAGCTGAAACTGAAAAGCTATGAATCAGTGTTGTACAGAAGAGGATCTAGAATGGGAGAGACGTTTGGGCTCAATTATTTAGGAGTACACTCAATGCTGAACCTAACTTTTGTGTAAAATACTTAACAGATGAGACAAAACAACAACCAAACTCCCCAAACCTCGAAGACTGCTATATTCACTGATTCCTACGTAGACACTCTGCCTGAGGGAAGGAAACTTAATAGAATGAAAAAAACAAAAACAGTACTGCTCTTAGGCAACTGCCTAAGAGAAGTAGGAGCTGTGAGTCACTATAGTTTATAGGGGCTAACTCTGTTTATCTCCGTGAAATACTAGGTTCAAACTACGAGGGATCTATTAGAATATCCAGAACATTAAGTCACCTTGGAAACCTTTCCCCTTTCATTTGCCTCTTCCAGCGACTAATCTTCACTTTTTCTTAAAGACCCAATTGGATTCTGTATTGCCAAGACAGCCTTCTTTGCTCCCTGTTCCCATCAATACCCAGAGTACCTTTGGATACTTCAGCCTCTAGTGAATTTTTATATTTCCTCCCTGCCAGGTAGTGAGCTCATTTAAGCCTGGGCTGATGGGTCACTTCTGATCCCCACAGAAATTGTTATGCCAATATACAGGCTGATAAACAAATATTTTGGTGAGTGGATGTTCTTACATGATGGATAAATTAGTGGATAGATTAATGGATGGATGGATTAATGTATAGTGTATATAAGCAGAGTGACTGGTGTTGGGAACAATCTTGGGAACAAGAGCTTGTTTTTTGTTAAGAATGATCTGGAGAAAACCAGTCATAACGTAAGGTTCCCAAACCATGTCACTAATATCTGTCACAAAGTGATTTTTCTGTTCAAATAAATGAAGTGCCATTTATATGTAGCGTCACTAAATAAATATGCTGTGTGACCTGGTCACTGAATGAATGCATTAA